GGGCGGTACCGGAAAGTGGAGTAGAACTCCCACACCAGCTCCGTGAAGGTCGAGTCCTGGATGCTCAAGAGAACCCACCAGTGAGGGTGGATGATGGCGGCGACGATCTCGTCCAGGCAGTGGAGCTGGTGGAAAACTTCCCACTCGAGGTGGTGATGGCGGTGAAACACCCCGCTAGTGACCCGGTGGAACTGGTAAGCATAGTCGGGTGGAGGCGCAGGCCCTGCACGTAAGGGTCGAGAGACATGATTCTGCAAATTGAACAAACCAAACGTGGAACCAAGAAAATTCTCATTAGGACCGCAAGCAGGGGTTCAACAGTTCCCCCACACTTAAGGACCACCTAGGGTAGGCAATCACGCACAAAGCAGTTGATTGCAAGCAAAACAACCGCATTTCAAGCAAGAATCATGGTAAAGGCGATGCATTCAAGCAATTGGGCATCCAACATGCATTAGAAAATCATATCCACTGCATCCCTCACCCTATTCTAGTTCAAACATGCCAAACAAATCACAGTTCTCGGGCCTAACTTCTACAGTCCGATTTTCCGGGGGAAAAAAAAGACAAATTGATCAAGATACACACTTGGAAACACAAGTATGACCGTAGAGGGACACGAGCAAAGGGTGAGGGACGCAAAACCACAGCAAAAATGGTCCCAGAGGACTCGCTAGAAAGTCGCCGGCGGCAAGGAGGCGTCGGCTGGAAAAAACGAAAGTCGCCCAAATCGGGCGAAATTTCTGGCGAAGGTGCTCCCCGCAACGTAGATCCCGAATCTGTGAATCGGACGAAGACGAGATCTACAAAACTCCAACGGGAGAATTTCCTCCGACGAGAGAGCAAGGGAGTAAGAGAGAAGGAAGAGAGGGGAAGTTCTGGAAAAAATGAGAGGAGAGAGAAATTGGCGGCCGGGTATTCGCTTATAAAGGAAAAATACAAGGCCATGCCTCAGAAATACTCGTTCGGGTATTTGAGGTCCGCAACCGGGTATTCGCCCTTCATAGTGAATCATGATTAGAGGGGGTCCCGACCAAGAGACCAAAATACCCGGTCGGGTATTTTGTGTCTCGGTCGGGTTTTTTAGTTTTAGCGTCCCTTGATCAGAAGGGGTCCCGGCCGCGAGGCCAAAATACCCGGTCGGGTATTTTGAGTCGCGGCTGGGTATTTTCCCCTTCTCGGCCAAAATTTGTTTTCTCCCATTTTTCGAACTCCCCTGCACGAAAAACACCAAAACAAGGCAAACAGGACACAACTCCCCGGCAACGACACCAAAAACTTGAATCGCAATGACACAACTCCTAACAATGGCCAAGTGTAACCAATGAAAGGGGCTGCAGTATAGTGGCTCAAGTAATAAATATTGAATCCACGGGTCTCTAGAGTTACTATTACTCAGCATCAGTTCATTATCTAACAAACCAGATTAAGATGGAAGAACTAAAACTACTCCAGCAATCTAAAGTTAAAGTTAATCTAATTACAGGTTGAGAACTCACTTAGGTATGATTCCCCCTAAGCACTAGCCAGATTAATGATTGATGATTTCTAACCTATTTCACTTTCATTTACAATGCGGAGAATCCTTGACTAGACCTTGAATCTCGACTAAATGATCAAGGCCCTCTTGAGTCGATTGCCTAAAGGGACGTATCCTTCTCTAGAACAACCGATCAAGGCGTTCTGAACTAGATTCCCTCTATCGAATGAGGTTCTCAATCAATACAAAGCAGTGAATCGACCCTCGACTAAAGCAATCGATCCAATACTATCAATCTATGGTACTCTATTGACCTAATCAGGTATTCGCTCTCATAGGATCAAAGCAGAATCAATAATCTCGACTAAAGAAAAATTGAATCATGAAAACATGCATAGATTGAATATGAACTCAAGATTATCAAGTAGGAGTACTCATACAATCATCCAATCAAACAAACATAGCTAGGGTTCCTCAAAACCTAAGTGAAGGGAAGTTACTCCATAGAGAAGAGGGAGACTACAGTAAGAATCTTCAGATGATTAGTCTTCAAGTCTGACCTTGTTCCTCGAGCTTCCAAGGCAAAGAAATCCTCCAATTCCACTTCAAGATTGCCCTCAAATCGCCCTCTCTCTCTTTGGTTTGTCCCTTGGGTGTTTGGGATCCAAAACCCAGCTCCCCCCTCCAAAAATGCACAAAACAGGCTTTTAACATCCTGCGCTCATGAAACCCGGTCCAAATACCCGGTCGGGTATTTAGAGGACCAGTAAGGTATCAACAAAATGCTCCGGGTCACTTTTCTGAGCAAAAGGGAAAATACCCGGTCGGGTATTTTGAACATACTGGGCGGGTATTTTTCAACCGGGTCCCCTATCTTTGATTCTTCGTTTCTCCCTCGTTCGGACTCCAAATCAGGTGTCGTTTGATCCCAGACGTTCGTAGTCTCGTCCTATTTCTTCTCATGACAAGATTACATGATTATATGGTCACAAAGTGAGGTATAAATCCATTCTTCTTCAATTCATGTCCGAGTTTCTTCCCCCGAGTCGCCAATTGATCTCCGATTGACTTGCAACTTGCGCCTATGCTTCACTTTATGTGCTATGACATGAAATTTGACAAAGGAACAAAACTTAGCATAAAATAAGACAAAGAAGCGATAATGAGAGCTTAGACTAACTCAAACCCTAGAGCTAAAAAGCCATTTACCAATTTTTAGCTCTTTTTTTGTGCTCTAACCCACATTATTTTGGGAGCTAAAAATGGGTATTGATGAATTGGAAGCCAAATTTAGCTTCCAAAAAGGTGAAAAAGCCAAATTTGGCTAGAGGAAATGGTGGACCCGTGGTGGCTGGTGGGTCCTCTTTTATTTTTTGTTTTTTGTTTTTCTGTGGGATTTTCTCATTGGTTGATTGTGTGTTTTTCTTTTTGCTTTTTTTGTGTGGTATTTTGTCATTGGTTGATTGTGTATGTTGTTTGTTTAATTGTTTGAAAGAAGATATGAAATGTTATATGTTTAATTGGTATTTTTTCATTGGTCCCGAAGTTAACGGTAACAAAATAATGACTAATTTTCCGAAATTTTTTTTGTCTCGAAATTAAAAAATAATTTACATCGAAAATTTTGTTTTCAAAATTAATAACTAACTATAGAAAATTAAAGTGAAATATGAAAATTAGAGGTCAAATAAGTATGCTTTGTTGTAATAAATTGAAAAAAGGGAGGTAGGATGCTAAATTTAGCATTGTGTAGGATTGTAGTGAAAATGGGGTTTGAGGAGCTAAAAAGCCATATTTGGCTATTTTTGGGGAGCCAAATTTGACTTTATGGGTTGAAGTTAGTCTAACCAGCAGAGATGGTGAAATCATGGGAGGGGAGAAATTGGTTTCTTTATTTATATACATAATAATTGTTTTTAATCCAAGCAGGTTGAAAAAATAATTACAATTTGGGATTAAAATTTCCATGTCAAATGCCACATCATTGCTTACTAGATTTTCTGTTGAAGTAGCACAATCTTTTATTACTTTATCAACCAATTGTGTGGAGGAAATTGACGCTCTTTCTAACTTTAATATAATTCACAATTTCTCAATATCCAATGGACAATACACAATATACTAACAAATAGTAGCAGTTCAAAAATATTATTCATTTTTTGCCTTTAGAAGTCGATTGTTAGTGACTTATTGTGATGCAGATAAGAAATATGATGAATATTCGATGATTTAAACAAGAAACAACTCTTTCCAATGTGAGAGTAGGGTGTTGGTCATTCGAATTCCCGGAACGCAACCACCGCCACCCGAATAAGTAATATAGAAATTTTCGATTCATGATCCACCCACTTCAATTACCCATCCACTACGGTTTGAGTTATATATGGGTGGTTCGATATCAAACTCCAGATTAACCACCCACATGCCAACCCTTTGAAAAACTACAAAACCGAAAGTGTAATTTCATTTATCAAAGAGTTAAATATTAATTTTAACTAATCCAGAATCCCATTGCCCCACCGGTCAACACAACCGAGGGTGATTAGCAAGTTTGTCAAACTGGTTTATACCGTTCCACTCGTTTAGCAATTGCTATAGTTTGAGCAGGGTATAACAACTTCATGCCAGTTTAACAAAATTTGTAGAAATGTAAAAACTCATTAACATCAAATGAATTTAAGTATATATAAAAACATATTTGAAAACAATCCACTTACAATCTACATTCATATTTAAATAAAATACAACATTTCAAATAAAATAACAAATACTCATATTTAAATACAAGATTTACCATCATGATTGTCGACCCCCGGGTCAACCCATTTTGACCATGACCCGGTGAGAAATACGGGTACCACACACTTGAGGTTCCCTAGTTGGAGGTCATACGCTATTTTTTTCATTTGATTTGCCAAATACGCTCATTTTCGGTGTTTTCCTTCATTTAACCCTATCTATCGAATTCTAAGTTGAACATTTGAATATTGATTTTATATGAGTGTTTATGAATTTTCACTATATGTTGGATCCTCTGGCGGATATGGCGGTCTCGCAACTGGGTTGTCTTTGACGGTAAACAGTTTGGGATCCCCGCCTTGATGCGCTAATTTAACCAGCAATATGAGGAGTGGGTGGGGTTAATGTATGTGTTATATGAGATTTAATATAATTTATAAATGTACGAACAATAATTTTTTTCTCTTTCATATATCCGGGTTAAATGAGGTTAAAGCGATCGGACCATTAACTCTCAACTCACTTACTCTATTGGCCCAATGAACTAAACCAAGTTGACAACCTTGTTTAAGGTCAACATTCAAACTTTTATATTTGAATTTAGCAAATAATATCAACCTTTAACTTTCAGATTTAAAAATAAAACATAAATAAAATTTTCTGTCAATTAAATTTACTAAAACAAAATTATTTTATTTAGAAGTCGAAAATTGATCATACCGTTATTGTTGATGGTATTTATGTCGGTTTCATGACCGGGTTATAACTTATACCAGGTTAAGCTGTGGAATATGACAACCTTGGTCCATCGGGATAGGATTGAAATTCACAAGTTTAGGTGGCGGGTATTAGGGGAGGGATAAACGCAGAAGGAAGAGCACACGTAAAGTCCCAAACTGAAGCAGCCATTCCAACCAGCCCTCCCTCCCTAATTTGAGTAATTTCTCTCCTCTCCTCTTAGGGTTTCTTCCTCCTTTGAAACTGCTACAAAAATTTCCCGATTTTTATATACCCATTTTGATTTTTGCTAATCGCCGGCCTAGATCCGGCCAGGCTACTGTAATTGTAAGAACCAATATCCACCCCGGCAGCACGCACTACAACCACCGTCGCGCGCTGCTGCTGTTTGCTGGGAGCAAGGTATCTCTCGCCATCTTTTCCTTGAATGTTGCCCCGAGGTTCCGATTTGATTAACAAATGGATGAGTAATGGGTTGATGCCCATCTCAGTTTGTCTTCGTAGCATTTTTGTTTGCGTGAAGCTTAAGAAGAACTATTCCCTTCTCTTTTCAATTGCCTTTCATTTAGAAATGAAAAAGAAGTAGAACACAAAAAGGTATGCTGTTGTTTTCTTCTATAGACGAAGTTGTGTGAAGCTCAAGAGCCCTGAATATACTCAACTAATTGCCGTATTTCTTTGTTTATTTTTTGTATGCTTTCTCTTTCTCCATTTTCATCAATGGGAAGAGTAATTTGTACGCGGAGCATGCTAGCATATTCAATTGCTATCTCCTACTGCTTGCTTTTCCAAGCAATTATTGCGAGTCTCTCTTCCTTCTTGGCTAGGCCAGTTTGTTTATAAGATGTTTTATTATGCTTTGAGCTCAGTTCTTTGTATACTTGCGTTTCTGTAGGCGGGGAACTGAACACAATTTCTGGGATCGGCACTTCTGCATCTTGGGAATTGAGGGTTGGGGTTCCTGGGGATAGGCATAATTTATTGTCTACCGGACAGTTATGGGAGGCTGCTTCGCCAAGGTGGGTACTTTTTGACATTGACGTGCGCCAAAAACTGAGCTAAAGGCTACCTGTTAGTTTTAAACACTGGCATCTCTTTGTTTGATTTTAACGAAGAACGATGGGCCTTTTCATGCTTCTCATGTATAAATTGTATGCAGATCTACTCCCCTTTCTGGTTCGGTCGTATATAAACATCTGAGATGAATAGTACATTAGGATCTTGTAGATAGCAAAAAACAGTTCCTTCTGATGCTTGTATTCCTTTGTGTTAATTGGTTGTGAAGTGGGGACTTGCTACTTCACGTCCTATGATCTGTTGGCTGATCCTACCTGGTTGGTGACAGTGAGGACTTGCTACTTGTTATGACTGTAGCATTTTAGAATTTGTTAACATGACATGTTGGAGGCCAGGGAGCAAAAGTTCTGGGTTAAAAGAAACAAGTGCACTTTAATCTTGCCCAATACAAGTCATCTGGTATCCAGGCAGCCAGGCTGCATACCTGAACGACCTTTTCCAGAACAATGGTTTTTGGTTTTACCCTATTCATTCTCTTTTGTGAATATTTATTAAGTATTCAATCTTACATCTCAGTGCGAGCTTTCTGATAGCAGTAAGCCACTAACTAGCAACAGTTTCACTATTTTGTCGGAGCGTTGTTCGTTGCCTGGCATACATGTTAGTCGAGTTTCCTAACTTCAATAGATGATCACTCCCCTGGTTTTCTCCATTATCGGCTTCTCACATAACCACCACGTTTTCATTTCCGTTGGATAGTGTTAACTTTTCAAGTATGTCAATTGCAGTGCTTGTGTTCTACTATGTTAAATTTGTTGTGTCATCCAAATGCTAGTGTTGATATTTTTTTTCCAGAGTCAAAATGACGATGATGATTCAGAGCACCCAATTGAATTTGCTGGTGGAAACGTGCAAGTCGTTTCCACTGAGGAGAGTTGGAAAGAGCATCTAGCAGAAGCAAGCAAGGATGGGAAAACGGTATCTTCCTGTTCCTCTATAGTTTTCTCGTGTTTACTCTTTCTCGAAAGTCCATTCTTAAATTCATCAAAACAAAAAAAAAGTCCATTCTTAAACCTTTCAAAAAAAGTTCCATTCTTAAAGTAGCCTTTGTATTACCTTCTACTAGTTACTTACTCTGCCGTTGACGCCTTATCTGGAATACCTTACTGTCTGCATCTAAATACTTTAGTCAAGACAGAACCCAGAACATCCTTTCATGGTGTTGATCATTAACCTAGGGTTGGTTGGCTGATGGATTGTACTTTCTTTGAAGGAATGGCTGAATAATTGTTGAAATAGATAGAGTTACGAACTGATAGATTTCAAAAATTGATAGATTATCGAAATACATCGATCGGACGAGGGTTTTTATTAATTTATTGATAGCGGGTCATGGATTCTTCTTTATTTTCCTTATAATGGCCATGAATTCTTCTAGTAATGCTAGAAGTATCAAAATGCCCTTAGATTATAATTTTTGAAATGTATTATGCGGATAATATGCAAAGTGAAAAATCAAACACATTTCTCATTATATGGTTTTTGTTGGGAGAAAACCCGACACGATTTCTCTTCGAGTATTTTCTAAATTGTTAATGATCTCCCACATTTTTTTATGATGTATTGATTTTAGGGTTCATCATTGATAACAGGGAGAAAAAGGCATTTCAAAGCTAGGTTAGGGAAAACATAGTCATTTGCCATGAATGGATATTATATGCATTAAGCCAACCCCTCCCACTTTAGCATCTCAAATCTATCATATTTTCTATTTCAAAATTATACCTAGCACAATCCATATGGTCTATTGAAAGCCGAAGGATTTACTCCCAAAACCAATCTGCGAAAAACATAAGCCAAATGAAGTTTTTCTTTTGTGTCTGTGTGCATGTGCGTACTTGTGTAAAATGAAAAAAGATGAGGCCAAAATATAAAGTTAGACTACTGGAAGATTAAATAGTCACCAGTACCTGCTTTTGTTCAAGGACACAAATTAGCTTCTCAGTTAAAGCTATTTCTGTGTACCAAGTAACAGTTCCTTGAATTGGGGAGATAAAGTTTGATTTGGTTGGTTGAAGTAAATCACTTTGATTCAAGGTCTTAATCTGGGCATGAATGGGATGTTTTTGAACAGGTGGTTGCCAATTTCAGTGCAACGTGGTGTGGTCCTTGCAGAATGATAGCGCCATTCTACACGGAGCTGTCTGAGAAACATCCATCACTAGTTTTTCTATCGATCGATGTGGATGAACTAACGGTTAGTTAACTGTCATCTCCTTGTCTTTCTATCCCGATAGTTTATGCTTTCCCTTGTGCAAATAATGTGGTGGGCAAATCCACATTTACTCTGTTCTAGTAAGCTAATCAAGTAGTAAAGGGGCGGGCAGATGATATTATCTGAGTTTGGTGTCACGGTACAAGGTTAAAAATAGTAGCTTCGATAATAGTTAAGAGGAACATATGAGTTTGAATCATGGTAGTGGTGGGGAATGCCATTTGGTGCTAAGCTCTAGCAGCGTGATAACTACTAGTAGTGGGAGATTAAGTGAATGATTGGATGTGATAAAGAATAATATGGTTTTGTGAGGCAGGAATTGAGCACTTCATGGGAGATTAAAGCAACGCCAACGTTCTTCTTTCTGAGAGATGGGAAACAAGTGGATAAACTAGTGGGAGCCAACAAGCCAGAACTGCAGAAGAAGATTACAGCGATCGTAGACTCAGGCGGCGGCCATTGTGAAGAGAAGTGATTTTGCTGTTTCATCAGTCTGTTATCCTGTGTGCGTGCACGCACATGATGCTAATTAACGTCATGTATCCGGTTTGGTTTTTGTTATCATCATGTCGACCATGGTCTGTGGTGTCTTGGGTGTAATTTTGGTTCGTTGATCAGGGCGAGAGTGTATCGAGTTTTGATGATGGTGTTTATCCTATCCATGTTGGTGGATGGGTGTGTTGGTATTGTTCTTGTTCGTTTCTCTGGATGTGTTTGTGATTTTCATGTAGATATGGTATATGATTATTGAATAAAGCTGTGTGTGTGTTGGCCGAAGTTATCCCTTGGTTTAGTGGGCGTGAGGTGAGACGTGGGTGCAACTTGCAAGCTTGCTCCAGGCCATCATCATCTGTCATCACTACGCTAGAATTGAAAAGTGGGATCTATGATAATACTAATAAAGTAATAATAATAAGTTAGGGAAGTTGGTTCGTGATTTCAACTCCGGCGGTTGGTTGGCCCCAGTCCAGCACCATAAACAACTAGCCTTTGACTTCTTAACTCGGCATCCAATCCAACCACCTCCGTCGTTGAAGAAATGGAAACGCGACAACGTGAAACGCAGTTGGTTCGCTGCTGCTTATGATCATTCCTAGCAGCACATGGCCAGCAAGCAATGCATAGCATCTACCACCAACATAAACAACACCGGCAAGGCGTTATTCGTCTGAGAGCGCGGAATCGGATGGTGATTACGAGCGACGGTCTCAATGTCCCCAAATCATAAAAGTCGTTATTGGACGTTGACGTGCCAGATGTCTCATAAACGCATGATATTCCGTCTCTCTTTTTTTCACAGTAAGGTTGCTTTAGTGCATTTCATAATCATGTTGAGCGGATATCCAGGAAACCTTTCATGGCCATTTCTTCAGGTCTTTGTTTGAGAACCTCGGTAATCTTAAACCTTCAACTAGTGTTTTTGCTTCAGCTTGTATTGGTGTTTCACAAAGCAATTTACTTGCTCATCCATGATCCATCACATGTTCATGGTTATTGCCCGCAATAACACCATAAGCTAGGTAGGGGATATGAACAAATTATGTAATATGAATTTATATTATATGTAATATGAATTTATATTATATGTAATATGAATTTCCGGATTTTTCTAATTTAAACAAATTATGTATTTATTTCATATCATTAATAATTTTATTACAAAAGAAAATCACCATATTTGGCATCCAAAATTTGAAATTATGGCTTCGCTTGTGGACGGTGGGACTAATTAGGGCTGGAAGTTTGGTACTTGAGATCGAATATGGCACCAAATTTGTTGAAATTTGGTATTACCGAATGACAAATACACATATTATTTCATAGGATTGTGATTGAGATTGAACTTCATGTGTTATTTGATAGTAGAGCATCTCCACTAGGAGCTCTAAAGTGCTAGACTTTTTTTTTTTCTCGAAAGTAAAGTGCTAGACTTACTTAGTCTAGCATTCCTCCAACAAGTAGTTCTATAGTGTCAAAGTGTCAAACTTTTTTTTTCTAATATAGTTTAGTGTAGATTATATAAATTTAATTAGATAGTTTTGTATATTATTCTTATGTAGGTAGTGATAATTAATTAGATAAATATTTCAATGTTATTTTTTGAATTTGGATATTAAAAGAATTTGTCCTTAAATATGACGTCGTCAATGACAAAAGCAGAGTAATTGATTTAGTATTTATAGAGAAAATATGGAAGTGGAGAAGATAAGTTTTTAGTAACTTATGTGAAGAAGAGAAATTTTCTTTATGATGACAAGAAGAGAAAAACATAGAAATTGTGAAGTAATAGTGAAGAAATGTGGTGTATTTATAGAGTAATGAGACAATTTTTTTTTTTATAATTCCAACGATCATCGACCGCCACGCACAGGATGCGCGTTTCACCCAGACGAGGGCCGCCCTAGTATATTAAATACAACTATAGAATTTAATACACACATTAAATACATATTAGGAATTAAATGTACCATATTAATTAGGAATTCTCTCACTATTAAATACACATTAGGAATTAAATACACACATTAAATACACATTAGGAATTCCTCTCACTATATTTTATTTTTCCTTTTTCAGCAGTCTCCGACCACCAGACTTCCTCCGACCGCTACACTTCTCCGGTGAAAATCCCATCGGCAGACTCCCTCCGACCACCTCCAAAAAATATACCACTGCACTGATACGGTGTACCACTGTACTGGTAGATATACCACTGCACTGATACGTTGTACCACTGTACTGGTAGATATACCACTGCACTGATACGTTGTACCACTATACTGGTAGATATACCACTGCACTGGTAGCGATATCAGTGTAGTGGTAGCAATGTCATATCTGAGTATCAGTGCAGTGGTACAAATACCAATAAAGTGGTAATTAATGTGGTGCATTTAATGCTTACTTTGTATTTAATAATAGAACATTTATTATGTTTACTTTCATTAATACTTGTCAATAATTAATGAAAAATTGACCAATTAAAAGGGGGGTGTCAAAAAACCAACCCCTTAAAGGGTTAGCATGCTAACCCGTCCCGTCTCATGGCTATGGAGCGCTGAATGGGCCGCGTTGCTGTTGCCAAATGGTGGGGTTGAGCAGGCTAGCATCCATTGTCTTATTGTTAGAGGTGTCAAAACAGAACCCAACCCGACTAACCCGCCCGACTAACCCGACCCGCAACCTGATCGCAACCCGAATTGACTAAAAGTCAATGACCCGCAACCCGCCCGACCCGTAACCCGATTGACCCGTGACCCAATTAACCCATAACCCGACTAACCCACAACCCGATTAACCCGAACCCGATTGAAGCGTAACCAGATTAAACCCGTAACCCGATTGACCCGAACCCGATTGGCCCGAACCCGACTAACCCATAACCCCCCGATTGACCTGAATAATTACTATATTATATATTACGTAGTCTTTGAAATGAAGTTTGTTTGTTGTAAGTCTAAGTAAAACTATTTTTTCATTTTATAAAGGAAAGTTCAAAAAATTAAATTGAGTTGAAATTATGCATTTTTAATAAAAGAAAGAAGGAAAAGTTTTGGTATTTTTAATTTCTAGAAAGAGAAAAAAGTGGAAAAGTTTGTGTTTTAAATTTTTTTGGTGATATGGTTTATAGGAAGAGAAAGAAGTGAGAAATTTTGGTTAGGGATATATTGTAGCATATCATAACTCATAGGGATATATAGTTAGGGTATTCTCCTACCCTCTAACCGGCCATTCTCTATTACTCGCTGACGGTTTCCTTTGCCCACAACAACTCGCCAGACGCTAAGCCAACAATCGTAACCCTTGCCAAAAAACGCACCCACAGTTCTTTGAAACCCAACAATAATCAAAATAAAAAACCACAAATCTTCTTTCACAAACCTAGCAATCAAAATCAAAATGCTACAACGCTTCTTTCACATATATAGGCAATCGGAACCCCTGCTAGAAAATCCAAACCCCAAACCCCCAATGGAAACCTCGTGAACCCCAGAAATTGCAACCCCCAAACCTAGCAACTAGAACCCTTTGAAACCCAGAAATCGGAGACCCCCAAATCCAAACCCATAAAATTGGAAACCTAGCATTTAAAACCCTTTGAGCACCACACGTCGCCGTCATCACCGCTCGCCGGCGCCCGCTGCAACTGCTCCGCCTATAACCGCCACACAGCTCGTAGATCTGTGAAACTGGAAGGCGATGCCAACGAAGGGAAGCTAGGCGACGATGAGCCGAAGAAGTCCCTATCGCCGCTATTGGTTTTGGAGGGAATTTTCGGACAAGTGAAGGTGAGCCAGAGAAGTCCCTGTCGTCGGAAATCTCCTTCATCTACCCCAAGATCGTTGACTATTGCGTTCAATCCATAAAAATTCAACAGTAGAAAAACCTAATTAGAATTTAGAACCCAAAACAGCAACAACAACAAAAAAAACCACAGAAAATCACTTAATCAGAAATGAATGTCCTGAATTTTACCATTGAATTTGAAGGCACTGGTCATAATCCACCATCGTCGTATCCAATGTAGGGAAGGGACCTTCGCTTCCTTCTTTCCGGTGAGTGGCGATTGTGAGCTGAGTGGGGCTTTGCCGGAGGAATGGGCTGAGCGGCGACTGTGAAGAGAGAAGAAGGAGATGACAGTCTAGGGATGATAAGCGGGGAACCTTGGTTCTCTGTTTTCATGACAGAGTGAGTGTGTGGCTGGATGGGAAGAAGAAGGAAATAAATACATTTAAAGGGGTGGGTTAGATTTTTTTTGCGGAAAATTTTCATTTGATTGAGGAAGGGCTAAATTTGGGCGGTGGTCAAATTTTGGAGAAAGTTTTCAATGATTGCTGGTTGGGGGAATTTTGGGCGCCAAGTGAATTTTTGGCAGTAAAGGGATACGACTTAATCAGTTAATTTGATTGACATTGAACACTTTTTTAGTGATATATAAGGAGTGCTTGTATTTGTCTATTTTTTATCCAATTTTTTTTAGATTCTTTTATATTATTCAAACTTATTGAAATGTTATTAATTAGCCAAATCTTTGGTAATGCATCAAAATATTAGTCATTTTTGCGTTATCGTTAATAATTTTGTAACTCTTTTCTTAGTTAAAATACTAAAATTTTGAAAAGTTGACATTAATGTGTTTCTTCCAAGTCGGTGTATAGGCCATAGGGTATATGGTTAGGTTTAATAAGTTAGAGTATAAGGTATTAATGGTTTAGCCAAGACTAATCAACATCATAACTAATAACTAATAAGGATCAAATTTTTTATTAAGGTATGTTGATGAATCAAACCGTTAAGGTTTTAGGGTATAGACTATAGAGTGAGGGTATAATGTATTAATGGTTTAGCCACGGTTAGTTCACATCATTAACTAATACCTAAAACGGATAAAAAATTTTATTAACATATATGTTCATGAATCAAACCATTAAGGGTTTAGGGTAAAGACTATAGAGTCAGCGTATAAGATATATGTATAGGGTATAAGGTATTAGGGTGTAAGTTTGACGGTTCATTGTTTAGGGTATAAAATATATGGTTAGGGTATAGGGTATAAGGTACAGATGGTTTAGAGTGTATATGGTTAGGGTATAAGGTACTGATGGTTTTGAAGGTTCTAAGTTTTTTATTAACATATGTTCACTTGAAGTCATTTAAAATATTTAACGGCAAGAGACCCTTTTAAATTTATGTTTATGGTACATGGTTAGGGTACAGGGTAATGGTGTAGAGTATAAGATATATTGTTAGGTATAGCAAATATCACTTTTTATCTATGTTTTGAAAATCAAAGTATGAATTTCACTTTAAATTAACTATACTAGCAAAATCACAACTCATAG